ATATGAAATATTAAATATTAAATATTTTTGATACTGAGGATAAGAGTTTTGGCTAATGAAATTTGTAAAAATAGAAAAAGTATATATATATATAACATATGATATTTTTACCATAAAATTCATATATATATATATATATATATATATATGTACTAATATTTATCACATCTTCATTATTCTACGTTTTTGTGGTTCAATAAGTTTTATTGTTTGATGAGTTCTGTTTCACATTAACGTTGAATTGAAAAAGAAAAACACAAAAAGAGACGTACGATTGTTAGTTCTTAGTTTTGTAATTTGGATAGTATCTTCATGACTTTGTGTTACATTGCTTGATTAGTTTTCTTTACTATTGTTCTCATTTGATGTGTGTGTGTTTATGTTGGTTTGCTTTCTTATTTTTTTGTCTCTTCGTTTCATGGTGATTTTGAATGTACGTTCGCTCATCATGCATGGCGTGTTTTTTGTTTTTTTTTGCATTCATCTAAAATTCTAAATAGTAAAACCTCAAATAATAAAATTTAAAAACCTTTAAAACCATGGAATTATGAACATGTAAAACGGATTATTAACATATGATTAATTTCATGGCACAATAACCTTATTTGGTATTGCTAGTTATGCTTTTTCTCCTATATTTGTAAATATATTTAATCAGTCAAAATTAATTTTCTCAATATATTAAGTTTTTTTATTTAATAATTTTTAATCATTTTTAAGTAAGCGGTTTTTTTGCGTCATAGTTTCATTAAAATGGAAAATCAGTGTATTGTTTTGGATTTTTTTCATTAAAATTATAATCTGAAAATGATCTTCACTTATGATCTACATATTTCTTTTTTTTTACAGATTTTTTTTTTCAACAACAAATTCATATATTACAATATATTTAAATGGAATTTGAATATCATTAGTACCTTATTATATCTCCATCAATTAGACATCTATGGTCCTTATAAATAGAAAATGTTAAAACTATCACTCTATCCACATTTCCTAGATCAAAAATACAAGTAATGTTTGGAATCTCGGGTTTATCGCTGCTATGGGAAAAAAGTATAAGAAAGTAGTCTCCAAGCCCAAGCAAATCCCCAATAGAAAACTACATGGAGATCATCCTCCCATTTGATCTCCTAATTGCAATATTCTAAGGATTTCATTGAAAGACGTTGCGAGGTATCATTGTGTTTCGAAACTTTGTTTTTCCATACTACATCGTCAAGATTCACCCAAATGTTTCTAAAAATCATGTCATCGGTTCGGCCCTGTATTTTATTCACCTTCCTATACAACGGTAAGACGATCTTTTACTCCATACCTCAAAAACTAGATCCAGGCCGCAACTACTCTTCTCCTATATCTCCCTTTTACCATATGCATTCTCTAAAAGGTTTGTGTTTCGAGGAAGGTATGTGTCCCTCTTTAGTTGGTTTGATTTGTAACAAATTTAAGAAGCTGATGATATGTAACCCTAGCATAGGAGAGTATATATCTTACCACTAGTTACAACCACGAGGAATTAGATGACACCTTATCTCGGGTATAATCCTATCGACAAACTCTTCAAGGTATTATATGTATCTAATGATGATTATGTGTGTCAATTTTCAACAGTAGGAAGTCATCATCAGATACGGGTAATACGTTGAAGAGTTTGTCAATAGGATCATACCCGAGATAGAGTGTCATTTGATTCCCCTTGGTTGTCACTACTGGTAAAGATATGTATTCTGCTGTACTTGGGTTACATATCATCGACTTATTAGATTTTTTACAGATCAAACCAAGTATAGAAGGATTCATATCTTCCCTACAACCCAAACCTTTAGGAAAATGCATATGGTAATAGGGAGATACAGGAGAAAAGTAGTTGCGATCTAGTTCTTGACGTATGGAGTAAAAGATCCGCTTACCTTTTTATAGGAAGGTGAATAAAACGCGGACGAACCAATGACATTTTTAAATACAGTTGGGTGAATTCTCGACGACGCAATATGAAAGACCAAAGCTTTGAAACGCAACGTGACCTCGCGACGGCTTGTAATGACACTCTTGAGAATATCTCAATGAAGAGGTCAAATGGGAGGATAATCTCCATCTAGTTTTCTCTTGGGGGCTTGCTTAGGCTGGAGATTACATTCTTCTGCCTTTTTCCCATGGCGGCGATAAACCCTAAAATCCCAAAAATGACTTGTATTTGTGATTTAGATGATGTGGACGGAGTGAGAGTTTTAACATTTTCTATTTATAAGGATCATATATATAGGTATAATTGATCGATATATATTTGATGGAGATCTGATAAGGTCTTGATGATATTCAATTCATCTAAATGTATCTTAATATATGAATCTTTCAAAAAAAAAATAGAAATCTTTAGATCCTTAGGGAAGATCATTGTTCAGATTATTATTTTAATGAAAAATCATTATACTGTTTTGGATCTCTTCTGATGATTTATCTATATATGGAAAATCAATGTATTGTATTGTTTTGGATTTTGTTTTTGTTTTTTCAGATTACTGAAACTTATTTACCCAAGTTATTCTAACTACTTTTTGATGAAATTTTTGGGCGAATTTCTTTGAAGCAATAAACTATTCTAAAAAAAATTATATTCTTATAACATAACGTATTCATTTTTAAAATGAAATTAATTGCCAAAATTTCTAAATTCACTTTATTATTTGCTAATGTTTTTTCTTGAAATTGTATTGATGATTTATCTTGTTAAGTTTCAGAATTTTTTTATAATTGTTTGAATATAATAACTCTGCTACACTTCTCAATTTCTAAATGTAAAAACAAAATGATTGGGTTCTGATATTTAATTTCTGTAAATTGCTAACATTTACGGATTTACTTTTTAAAACATTATTTTATTTATTTCTTATTATACTTTTTAAATTGCTATATTTCTTACATATTCTACAAAATACACTGGAAATAAAATGAATAATTTTCTTATTTTAGCAAAAAAAAATTAGTTGTTGCAACTGTTTGTTATTTTCATATCGAATTTTCATTACTACACTAATCTGAGGATATATTTTTTCATGAAAAAAAATTTATAACGACTAAAATTGTTGAGAACGTTACGTATGAATATGTTGATTTGTTCAAATGGAAACGAAGAGTTCTTCCCAAAGCATATATATTAAGTTCAAGAAATACATATTTGTCGTTAAGAAGTTTATAGGACAATGTCAAAAAGTGTGGCAAGATGAGTTACAAAGCTCACAAATGTCGTCGTTGAAACCCTGAGCCACACAAGGATAGTTGAGAATAATTTATGTGTCCGTCTGATTTTTGAAATACTTTTTTTGATTACTCTATATCAATAAAATATTTTTTATTCATCGATCAACTAAAAACTGATAATTAAGAAGTTTTTGTATTATGAGATTCAAATCATTACATAATTAGTCATCACATAATATGAAAATTTTGAAACTAGAGAATAAAAAACCTATTTTGCTTTACAAACCGGTATTTTCAGTTTTAGTTTGGAATTATTTGTTTGTAATCTCTATATATTATATTATTGTTATCACATAAGTTTTGTAAAAATTTTATAATTAAAGAACAATATATGATCGTCTTAATTAAAAAAAATGATCGCTTTCTTTATCTCAAATTCCAAAAAACCACAAAATTCTAACAACAAAATTACAACCAAAATATCAAAAGAGATTAGGGTTTTGCAGTCGTGAGCCGTTTTAAATGAATTTTTAAATCCGATTCTTTAATCTCAATGTGAATTTTTTTTCAATATATTATGTTATTGTAATCACATACCATAAGTAAAAATATGTTTTGCCTTTGCAAACCCGATACTTTCAGTTCTAGTTTCGAATTGTTTCTTGTAATTTTTACTATACTATTTTATTTTTATCGCATAAGTTTTGAAACAATTTTATAACTAGAGGATCAATATATGTCCGTCTTTGCAAATCCGATTTTTTTAATCTTAATGTGTAATTTTTTGTTGTAATTTTTCGATATATCTTACGTTATTGTTATCTCAAATTATAAGTATATGTCCCATTGTGGAAAAGCTCCTACACAAGGTTAAAAGATTATTGTTAATATATTAAATTCACTTCATTCGTCTTCTTCTTTTTGTGTCCATGCATTTTTGAAGATATGCTAGGAATCATCGATACATATTAAAAAATACGTTCTTTTTTTTTTTTTTTTTTTTGAATCATTCCTAATTTGTTGTATAGCTGGATAAGAGTTTGACGGAAGGCCCAATAATGATGTTAAGAGTTAAACCGAAGGCCCAAAACGAAATCCAACATATACCTTCTTTATAAACGGGTTGAAGCCTAACGCGCATAACCCCGACCAGGCCAACGGATAAACACGCAAACCGGGCTGGGTATTGTTGAATGGCAATTACGATTAATGGTCTCTTTTATCCATAATTGAATGGCAATTTTAGTAAATATATGCAAGATTTTGGACATGTCAAAATGTGTTTTTTCAATAATAAGAAGATGAAAAAATATTTTAACCGATTTTTTGATCTAGATGAAAAAAAAATCTTGTTATCTATTCTTTCGTATATTTTGTGATAAACGTAGTTCATGTTGCATTTTGGAAAGCAAGTCATATGTAGGAAAGACTGAACCAAGTATAATTAAGGCACACGTACAAATTCTATACAAACACTGTGATAATAAGATCTTTAAGTGATTTGAAATACAATTATACAAGTCTTTAAGAGGATTTTGTAATTTGAGTAGCTTAGGAGTTTTATTTATTTGTTAGAAAAAATCAGGGCCAAGCAATTGATTTGATCCCTTATCGCTACTCTTTATTACTCCTATCAGATCAAACGTCTTCACTTTGTGAAAGCCATCCTTCTTAGACCTCGTTCGACCACATGAATTTTGGTACATGTTCGGGTGACGGTATGGAAAGTATTGATGCGAAGGTGGCTGCGAAGGCACATAAATTGGCGGAGTAATTGCTACAACACAAATGTAACAAATAAGAATCAATCTATTTGCACTACAAACAAACAAATAGTCTAAAAGTCGCCAATTCGAGTAGTACTTGGGACGAGATTATATAACATGTCCTGGTCTTGTGCTTGAGGGATGTATCAGTTTCGACACAGAACCTCTTAGTTATTCAAAAAAAAAAACAAATAGTATAGTGGATTAGTGGATATGTGTTACCTTGTTTTATTGGAATTGGTATAATTGGTTCTTGAATGCCATCAACGTTATCTGAGCCTTGTTCATCTGTTGATTCCTCCTCTCCTTTTTCAACCTTTTCGTTTTCCACCACCTTTAAGATTTCATGAATGGCTAGAACTTTGTCACATTTGTCATCTGCCATTTCCATGCTGCCTTCTCCCGTGATTACTTCTTTATCAAGCAAGCTACTGTTTTCGTTCGAAGAGTTCGACTTGTTGTCTTCCACCACAACCATCACCATCTGAAGTTCTCTATCTTCCTCTTTACATATAAATGATACCTCTACTTCTTCCTCAGTTTCCTCATCGGTGACTTCCTCTCCAAGCAAATCCTCACTTATGTTCGAACCGTACTCTACAGGTGACTTGCCGCCTTCCCAACAGTTTTCAATCTTCATCATCTCTTCATGTTTTGCAATGATCACCTCAGCCTCTACCTTGGTTTTTGCAGCTGCTGCCTCTTTCTTACTCTTGCTCTTACTTCGATATATGCTTCGAAAACTTGGAAGACATCTGCTTGATCTCCTTTCCTCCTTTGTAATTTTCTCCATCAACGTTACGATATCAAATTTTGCCTGTAATGAATTTGTTAAAAAGGGAAAGTACTCAAAGAACAGAGATAAGATCTGACTCCGTTGGTATGCTTCAGCTTCATTCTATCACATGTTATATATGGAGAGGTTCATAACTCATAACTCATAAAGTCATAAGTGTGTGCATCCTATAATAGAAGGAGATCGTAATGACTTATGTCATAAAAACGCGTAAACGGCAAAGACTTTTAATCGATGCTTTGATCATTTCCCTTTTTCTTTATTAATTTGCTCACCATATGATTAACTTATGATAATTTGTTTTTAAAGATCAAATATGTATAGATAGATAGATAATGTAATTGGAAGATAAGTTTATAAAATCAGAAATTTTACTAAAAAAAAATATATGTATAGATAAGTACGAAATCTCTTTTATAAAATCTCTTTCCTTCCTTCTGATATTCCAGGAAACATCAACCTCAATTTACTTTTAACTTATAAGTAGTGTAATTGTAATATTTGTATGTTATATAACACCAACATACTAGTATACGTGTGGACTTTTTAGACAGAAGACAGAGTCGTGTGTTGCAATGTTTGTAGATGTTTTTTTGTAAGAATGGTTTTTAATTGTTGTTCGTAGATGTTGTGGACACACACAAGGGTCATTTAAAGAGATTGCAACGACACCAAAAACAAAACCTTATTTAAAACAACTGATATAGTAATGATATACAAAATTACATTATGGTAATCTAAGCGTTTACGGGAAAAAAGCTTAAAAATACTTCATCTATTTTTTATTTGTACGTTTAATACCCGATCTTTTTAGGTTGGAAAAATAATACTTAAAATAATAAAAACGTGTAATTTAATACCTAAAATATTTAATATTGTCATTTCCCTACCTACGATCTCTCAGCAAAAATTATATTCCAATTTTACCCCTATTCACTTCTGTTTATTATTGATGCATAAAAGACTATATTTTACTTTACTATTTTATTATAATATTTCTTTATATCTTTAATTAAAAATATATATTTCATACTTTAATATTCGTTTTTAGATATGAAATATATAATTCAAAAAATATCTTTCGTTGGATCTCTTAAATGTTTTGGATATAAATATAATACAATTTTTGGATATAAGATATATAATTCAAAATATATTTTTCATTGAATCTCTTAAAAAGTTTAGATAAAAATGAAATATGAAATATAAATATCATTTTTGGATATGAAATATATAATTCAATATATATATATATATATATATATATATATATCTTTCACTAGATTTCTTAAAAAAATATATTTGGATAAAAATGAAATATATATTTTTGATACGAAACATATAATTCAAAATAAAGCTTTCATTGAATCACTTAAAAAATTTTGGATAAAAATGAAAAATGAAATATATATTTTGAATGAAATCTATAAAATTGTAAATAATTTCATATCATTTATGTACTAATAATAAATAGAAATAAAGAAGGGTAAAATTGGAAAAGAAAATTTGTTGTCAGATCGTAGGCAGAAAAATGTTAATATTTAATAGTTTAGGTATTAAATTACACGTTTTTATTATTTTGGGTATTATTATTCTAACCAAAAAAGATAAGGTATTAAACGTCAAAATAAAAAATAGATGAAGTATTTTTTAAGCTTTTTTCCCAAGCGTTTACTATTTTATGTGGATCTAAGTTAAGAATCAGTTTCTATTAGCGGCTATAAATAGTATGCACTCTATATATACTACAGAAAAAAAAGTAATCTTACAAAAAAATGATCAATTTCTTACTGTAGATATCATAGAAAAATGGTTAAACAACACATTCCTACAAATTTCCTAGAAAATATTTTTATAAAAAAATTTGGTAGGAAGATGGAAAGAGAATTTTGACCTTTTCCTACCAAAATATTTATAAAAATCCATATTTCTACTATTTTCTACGAAATCTCTCCCTTTCTTTTTTTATATAATTACTTTGGTAGAAAGATACTTCCTATTATTTTCCTTCTAACTTAGTAAAATATAAAATCAATTTATTTGTTTTCATAAATTTTAATAATTGTGAAAATAAAATCATAATGATAAAATAATACTCAATTATTAATCCAAATAATAAGCATCAAATTACTAATTTTGATTAATGCTTTTATTTATTTTCATTACATCGTTGATGCTGGTTTCACCGGAGCAATCCCACGATGAAGAAAAATCAAAATTCTGTGGGATTGAAATCCGTAGATTGAAAATTGGTGTTCAATCAAAGGACTAAAGAGGGAGCATTGAGATTTGAGTCCTCAATTAAACCTACAATAAGAAAAGAAGAAGAAGAAGCTAAGCGAAATAAAGAGTATTAGAGCAAGACCAATAAATCATCGAAATAAAGGAGAGGATGTCATGAAAAAGAGTCAACGATAAAGAAGAGAGCAAAGTTAACAAGAGAAAATTATATCTTTTGCCATGATTAGTGCCCAAACTTTTGAGTAATGCCATTTTTTTTTCTCGCATGCCACAAATCCATCGCAAAAGACTGTTTTGCCCTCATAATGAAATAAATGTTTTTTTCATTTCTCATCTCTCTCTCTCCTTCTCTCCTCTTCTCTTTGTTTCTCCATCAACAAAAAAAATTTCTTCAAAGATTTTGGGAAATGTCTGGATTTGAGATTTTTCCACTGCCTTGTGGTCCGACGAATGAGTCGATCGGCTCTAATCAACCTAGTTGTGTATTGCACTTATGATAGAAAAATTTCGATGCACTAGACCTAGTGGACCAAATTCGGTTTTATTAGGAACAAATTTGGTGAAAAGGAAAACTCAAAGAACAAAGATAAGGACCAACAAATGAGTATTAGGTCATTGAGTCCCTTTCAGGCTTAGCTCATTAAAGTCAGTAGTCAATCTAAGGTTTATACGGTGAAAAGTGTGACCACACAACCCTTGGTTATTAGTTCATGGAGTTTAATAGATTTGGAAATGTAAACAAAAATCATGTATTATTCAATCATTAATTTAAAAATAATTATGAAAGTCATGTGTTTTTTCTAAGATATATATATACTAGTTAAAATCATATGTTATTCGTATAGTGATTTGTTTTTAGATTCTATAGTATGTTTTAAATGGATATGAAAATGAACTTCCCTGCCAACTTCTTGTATACTGAAATTTTTTTTCTTTTCTTTCGATCAAAAGTCTTTCCTTTTTGTCTTTTGATCAAAATAGAAGGAACATTTTGTCTTTTATCTTAACTATATAAAAATAAATTTTGATCTAAAGGCTTTTATATTAGGCTTTCAACCAATTTACTCAAGTCTCGACTTATCCTAACTTATATAGTTCGGCTTGAAGTCCGTAGAAGTGGCCCAATAACTTGGGCTCAATATTCTTTTTGTACTACATTCTTCATGGGCCAGTAAATGTTAAAAAATCAAATGCTCAAGGCCCAAATTTATTAGTATATAATCTGCCGTTCCATTCACATGTTGAAACCCTACTTCTCTTAAGATTCTCCGCCGCTAGTACAAAAATTTAGAGCTCTCAAAAATACATAAAAATTGGAATCTGAGTTTCGAAACCGCTCATCACATTTTGAAACCCTTGAAAGCATGTGATTTGATATAGGTATGTGATTATCTCTTCTTTATAGCATTGTGATTTCGAGCCTTTGTAATGAAGTTCGTGGAAGATTATATAACTATTTTTTGTTCCAAGGATATTGGTTGTGATTAGGCAAGCCCGCTTTCTTCACTCCGGAAATGAGAGAGAAAGTGAGAAACAAACCATGTTCTCTTCCGAGGTCTCCACTATGTAAATCAGTAAGATTGTTTCTCATTTTTCTATATGGATATAACTTTATTTTTCCATTTTTATGTTTTACAAGCAATCCACTTTAGATCTTTATTTTTCATTAAGCTATAAAGTTTATGCTAAATATACTACATTATAGGGATCCACACAAATCAAATACTCTTGAATTTTTGAGTACTTAGATCTAGGTCTGTTATATTGATGACAAAGAATATATGGATATGGATATACATATATTCACTGCTATCCACACTTGACCCGGATCAGAAAAAATGTTTAAATTATGAAAATATTAATTATAAATTATGTTGAATTGTTATAAATTAAATCACAAAAAGTAATATAGGCCATATGATATTTTTAAAATATCATAAGACATTAAAATATTAATCTTATACATGTATCATAATAAAATTATATGTAAAAAGTGAATCCAAGTTAGAATGAGGTATTATAAGTATTATAGAGCGATTTAGGTGAATAACCAAAACAAAATAAAATTGATTGAAGGATATAGCATGCTATTTGAAAAAATGGAAATTTAAGATAAATGGTAGGTAAAATCACTATTTTAGTATTTTGTAGATTAATCACATAGATACTTCATTTAGCTTCGTGTTCAGAAAAAAAAATGAGATACCTCTTTCAGTTTTACTGCCGAGTACTAATGTACGAGTACTAATGTACTATTATCATTAGTAGTACAATTACCACTATTACAAGTGTAGAACCATTATAAAGTGTTTGTCATTTTTAATAAGCAGAGAACAACTACTTGTCGTTTTACACTAGCAAAACAAAACATCTTGACGTTTTGTTTTCTTTTGGGTTTTAAACTTTTTTTTTAGTATAAATTTCTCACATCCATATTTTACACTTCACTTTAGCCGCTTAAGTAGTGAGAAATTAAATTTTACAATGAAAAAAAAAGTAGTGACAAAATGTCTGGCAGCTCGACGGCTATGGCTATGGAGACGGCAGAGATGAATCAGAACGATATTGTTGCAACGACGGAGATGAATCTGAACGACGTTGATGCAACGGCAAAGATGAATCTGAAAGACGTTCACGCAACGACGGAGACAGAGTTCCAGATTTTGAAAGCTATATGTTTTCGAGTAACTTACCTAGAGATACATCCGCGTATGATAAATCTATGTGATTAATTAAATAAAGAGGAAGAGATAGAGAGACAAAGTTTTATCATACTCTGATGTATCTCTGAGGTAAGTTACTCGAGAACGGATAGCTTTCAGAATTTGGGACTCCATCTCCGTCGTTGCATCAGCGTCGTTCAAATTCATCTCCGCCGTTGCATTAACGTAATTCAGATTCATCTCCGTCGTTGCAACAACGTCGTTCAGATTCATCTTCGCCGTCTCCATAGCCATAGCCGCCGAGTTACCAGACATTTTCTCACTACTCTTTTTTTTCTTTATAAAATTTAATTTCTCACTATTTAAGCGGCTAAAATGAAGTGTAGAAAACGGATGTGAGATATTTAAATTAAAAAAAAAAAGTAAAAAACCTTGGGGAAAACAAAACGGCAACACGTTTTGTTTTGTTAGTGTAAAACGTCAAGTAGTTGTTCTCTGTTTTTTATAAACGACAAACACTTTATAATGGTACTACACTTGTAATCTCTATATTAGTAAAACAGAAGTACAAAAATGAAATGGACGGGTCAATTAAAAAAATTACTCAAAATTACCCGATTCGAAATACATGGATACTTAGATTATTGGATCTTAATTTGGGTATGGATATAACCCATTAATGAATAATTTCAAAAATATTTAAAATAAATATTCCAGTATTTTAGGAAACTTATTAACTAAAAATGATACAGTTCTATATTTTATGAAACTATATTAATTATAAATAAGCAGCTCCTATATTTTAGGAAACTATACAAATGATTAAGTACAAAAGATTTCAATCTTTAACAAATATTCCAATTATTAAATATAGAGATTTATACATTTTTTAAAAGAGAAATTCGATTAGTCGATTACCAATTAAAACACATTATTAAATCTAATTTAATATGATAACTTAAATTGATCATAATTATTTGGAATTAATTAAATAGTTTTTAAGATATGAAAAAAAAATCAATATATAAAGCTATACAAAAACAAGAATATTATAATTATATAAAATATTTTTCATTACTTTTGTCAATTTGCCTAATACGTAAAATGAAAATGAAAAAAATTGGAAAGATATACTGATATTTTCTCATATCTCTATCAATTTAATTTACATAAAAAGGAAAAAAAATCTTATAACATTAGCATAATTAATGAAAATTACAAAGATCCGCGTATATCTAAAAATAATTATTCTAAAATTTAGGATTTATTGTTTGACAGCCATATATAAATATAAAAGAAATAATTAAAATTTAACAATAATTTTTTTAATTAATTATGAATTAATTTAATAAATTAAAATTCTAAGATGATTATTATAATTAATCACAAAATAATTTAATAAAAATAATTAGGGAATGTTTTACTTTTTATTTTTTTATTTTTATTAGGGAATATCTTTGAAAATTTTCTTACAAAATTAAAAGATATAGTTTCTTTTTGCTATATAACTATCTTTGTATTTATTAATAATTCTAATCAGTGTTAATACAAAATCAATTTAAAATGGTGCATTACAATACAACAATATTGAAATCATATATGTTTTTGATATCAAAATATATTTTCCGTGTTTAGATTAAAAGACTATTTCACAACTTATTAACTATTATTTTTTGCGAAGCAATGATAATAAAATGGAATTAAACATCCTAAACATTAAAAAAATCCATATTACTAATTAACCAATTTTCTTATTCGGAAATTCAGTAAAATAGAAAGTCATTTTGCAATTCATTTTTTTATAGTTCATATATTAGGTCTTTTAATTGAAATTCACTTCTAAAATATAAATATTATTCCCAAAATAACACACTATAATGAATTAAAAATGTAATATTACTATTGTTATCAATATTAAATCAATATTACGATTGTTATATCATAGGAAAATTTAAAACTTAATTTTTTCCCTTGACTTCTATTTTTATAGGGATTAAATTTCTCAATTTTCAATTATTTTCATTTTATGTCAAGATTCAATTATATTTATTTAATTTTATTTCTATTTTCAAAAATTAATCTTTTTTATTATTCTTTTAAAAGTACACGGATCTTTGCGGGTTGGTTCGTCACAACATACATTATGAGTATGTCATTTTTTAATACACATTCTTTTATTTTATTAAATATTATATTTCATTTCCGAATATATACTTTCTCCAAAGAATTGAAACCAAATATACATTTTGAAATAATAATTGTTAATACTAAAATAAACAAAATAATAAGACATCTGATAAAACATGTTAAAAATAAAATAAACCGAAAGCATTCCCCCGCGCTGTAGCGCGGGTCCAAACCTAGTAGTATGTAAGGTAAAATACGGATCACAGATTTAAATTAAAACGAATCAAAATTGTTATGAAGGTGCCCACTGAATTATATACATATTGTACATATCAGTGGATCAGAAGCTTGCATTAAATATATTAAAATTCACTTCATTCTTCTTCTCTTTTTGTGTCCATGCATTTTCTAAGATTAACCTTAAAGTCAATCTTGAGTAGTAGTACCAAACACGAGAAGTCAAGTGTGAAATGCTTTATGATCGGTGTTAAAACGTCAATGAGTTTACGAAAACGACTTTCTAATAACGCCTTGACTTGATGATAGCTACTCATTACGACAATAACCACATGAACAGAGACCATAAGACATAGCTAGAGAGATGATGTTTCTTCTTTCAGTTTAAGGCAATGGAGACATAGCTAGAGAGATGATGTTTCTTGTTTCAGTGTAAGGGCAATGGCTCCTAAGTCCTAAATCGTATGAACGAACGAACGTACGTACGTACGTGCAAGGCGGTGAGAGATCACGTGTGGACGGTGAGTGAGTGACACGCAAAAACGAAGTGCGTAGAGAGAAGACTAAAATAATAAACTCTCCGCAGAATCTGCCGACTAAATAAAGAAGAACTGGTAGGACCTGAACGAACATATCTATCTATCTGCTTAAATTTGAGTCCCACACCCACTTCGGCGACTTATCCCATGCAAAAACCTAAACCTTAGGCCATGAATGGTGAATACAAAAGCGTGGTCCATATCGGAGTAACGTCCATATGTGATACCATTTAATCCAATTCTCTCTTTATTAGCAATTTTTGTAATTTTTTTTGTTGAGATTTGTTGAATTAACCAATATATATAGGTATAAAATATTTTTAAACACATTAATAATATTTACTTAGCGATCCAAAAATATCGCAAACCGCACTTGTCCCGCAAATTTATTTTTCTTAAATACCGTAGTTGAACAATAAAGCATATTAAACTTGCTTCTACCGGACAATCAAATACGTTGTCACCGACCCCTAGGGTTTAAATAGTGACAGCGTATTTGATTTGTAAGAAAAGCGGTTTTATGATGCGATACGGTTTAACTACAGTATTTAGTAAAAATAAATTTATAGAATAAGTGTAGTTTGTGATGTTTTTAGACCGTTAGATAAATATTATTTATGTTTTTAAAAGCGTTTCATACTTATATATGTTGGTTAATTCTATAAAACTCAAAAAATAAAAATAAAAATGTGCAAAAAATGTTAAAAAGAAAAAAATCTGATTGAATGGTAAAAAATGTCCATTATTCCGGTGTAGGACTAAAGACGTTATGCTTTTATGATCATTTTGCCATTTAACATAGAAGCGGTTTAATATGCGGTATGGTTTAACGTTATACCGCAGTTGAACCGTATCGCATAGTAGGAAACATAACAGATGATATGAGACGCGCCTGGTGGACGGCGAAGTCACACGTGCTTCCCACCTGACACTCAATGCCATCATCTCCCTCATCTACACGATACTCGAAGATTGGACTCATGATGATGCCTATTGCTTATTACCACTACTCTCTCTATCTCCTTTCCCAAAATTTACTACACTGTCATTTCTAACTTTTTTTGTTCTCTTCTTTTCACATTTCTATAATGATGAAAAAGTTCTTCAGCTTATTGCCCTTTATTTCACTTCTAAAATTCATAAACAATTCCATTTATTCAATATACTGAAAAAAATTAATGAAAAAGACGACTACTTTTTAGGTATTATGATGATTTTTTTTTTTTTTGTAATTTTGTTTGATGTTGACAGACCATATAAATGTTCGATGTTTTTCTTGGTTTCATATTCCACAGCCATTTAATGGACTCCTATCTACTACCTATTTGATTCATCGACCAAAACCATCATGTCATTTTTATAACGTCAACAAATAAAGAGAAATATTCAAATAAAAAAAAGCATATTAAAAGGAAATATTTGATGGTGAAGTTCTCTTCTCCAATTGTTGATTAATGCTTATATGCCATAAAATCTAAATTCTGAGTCTTAATTATTAATAATTTACAGATTATTATTCTGAATCTAAATTTGTCTCTATTAATCTGAATTTTACAGATTAATGTAGACAAATTTATAAAAAATTGTCGGTGATACAAAATTAGAACCCTTATCGTGATTCTAAATATAGGAAAAAGTATCTTTAAATGGAAAGTCATTGGAAATATCTAATTGTCTTTTTTATTTGAATATAATTCTTAATTTTTAAGGAGGATATCTTAGAGCAAGATTTTTTTTATAAAGACATTGTTAACTGTTAATCTAATAAGATCAAAATAAAATTTCCATGATAAAATCATCTATATCACATTTTTTTTAATTTATAATAATAATTTATAGTCATCAATAAATTTAAATACACTTTTTTCCTCAAAATTGAACGACACTTAAAAAAGGAAACATTTGATTAATAGTTTACAACTACATAATTAGAGGAAACATAGTCCATAAAAAAAGGAATTCTAAAAACATGTCCTCTTTACTTAGCCAAAAATATAGGACATTTTTTTTCTCTCATCTACCAAAATCCAAAAAAAGAAAAAAATAGAACAAAAAATATTAATCGTGAAAGTTAAAAAAAAAAAATAACAAATTACGAAACAAATCTAAACATCGACGGGTGGAGCTAAATTAAGATCCAGGTTGAGTTCTCTTCTTGCTTCAACTTTAACCACTGCTTCTCTAATACCAATACTCAACTCAATATTAACCGGATCAAACCGAACCGGGTAAACCCGAGAAAGCTCCTCTCTTAACGCTGCAGCTCTCGACGGATCGAAACAAAACCCAGCCGCAGCGTAACCACCAACGACTTTACGTTCCCGGTGACATGCAAACGGGAACCTCTGACGCGTCATCTCACGCGCCGTCGTCGTAACCGTAACAGCACCAGACTCGCCGGGAAGTGGGAAATTAGTCTTGGCTTTCGAACCACGAAACTCTCTCGCAGCTTTGTCGTAAGCCCTAGCTGCTTCCTCCGCCGTGTCAAAAGTCCCGAGCCAAACCCGAGTTTTCTTACCCGGGTCACGGATCTCCGCCGCGTATCTTCCCCAAGGACGTTTCCTCACTCCTCTGAAATGCACTTCCTTCCTCACGGCGTTCACGACCTGCTTCGGAGCCATTGCTATGATATTATTATTACAAAAGAGAGTTCTTGTTTATGTAATAAAAGATGTGTTGTGTTTTATAAAGAAGAGAGAGTTTAAAGATGAGAGAAAGAGAGAGAGAGAGAGAGAGATGGTCAACGAGGGTTTGACTGAAAAAAAGCGCCGCCCAAAAAACAGACAATGTGAGAGGTTATTAATGTTTTTGTTGTGACGGCTTTTTGTTTTTGCTTTAACGTCCCGTTACTGCGGCGTGACTTTGCGTAATTTTTTTTGATTGCTTCATTCATCTCACGCACGCGCGAACGCTCCTTCATTAATGCACGTGACTCTCACGCTCTTTCTCTCTATGCGCATTTACATTGTAACATTACATGAAGTCATTAATACAGAATTTGTAAGCCTTTCTTTGTTTATTACTCTCACTAACATGAATCAATTTAGATAATAGCATTATATTCTAGGTGATTTATAATGTTTTTATTCATATTTATGTTAAGTACATTACATTAAGCCATAAGGCTGTGTATTTTTTTTAAGAAATGGGTTAGTTGTTGCTTAATATCCGTCTTTAATTGCCATTGATAACGAGCCAGACAAAATGGGCTAATTGCATGTGTCTTGAGATTTTTCATGGGCCTCATGATGTTTGATTAGTTCTATCTAATTTGGGCCATTTCTCTGTTATCTTTTGGGATTTTTTTTTTTTTTTCTTTTTAGTTTTGTAAATTATATAAATTGGATATGATGATAACAAAAGAGAAATATGTCATTGTAAACTAACGGAATTATTCTTGGTTCTATATTTAATTTCTTTCTGAAATTCAACTCTTTGAAACTATTGTATATGAAAAACTAATCTGGATGAGTTTTATATTTCGAACAAAAAATTTAACATGGGGGAAAAATTGATTCAAATTACTTAATCGTAATGAATTATTGTGTATAAAAACTAATGTTGATGAATCTTAATAATTCATTAAGATTAAGTAATTAGTATATAACTTATTAAAATATATTATAATCTAGGAAAGTTTTGATACAAATTGCTTGGATTTGTTATAGAAATACCGCCATTGGTAAAAAATGTAGATGTATTGGCTGATACAATAGCAAAAGAGGCTTGAATCAAGGATTCTTTTTTGAGATCATTTTTTTTTTGATTAAAATGATATATTATGTGAATTGTTGGTAAGTTTTAAGTTAAAACGCTACTAATATGTGGATATATACTTACTTTTTCCATACTTGATTCTTTATAAATAAATATGTGCATATCATATCAAAGCTATAAATTACAAAACATAGTTGGTAAAAATAATAAAAAAATCAACAAACTTTTACCTCACATTAAGCTACCTTGAGTTACAATTTATCAAGTAAAGCAACATTTTTTTTTGTCAACCTTTGTAGTGCAACATTTCGAAACCCTTTTTCATGCTATAATCCACATATTATAAATCGTCATATTGATCAACTAGCCAAGAATCAACAATTGAAAAATTCAGATTTTATTTTACTTATATATTAAATTGTATTTCTGGTGTAATGCATGATGACAATCAACTATAATCAATAGAGCAAGTTTTAGTGTACAAAAAAAAAAACAACTTACAATAATATTTTTGAAAAATTCTCATTTCAGTGGTATTTATAACAATTACCTATTTAATAGACTTTTTGTTTTTTTTTGTTTTTTTTGTTTGTAGTTTGTGAGTAAAAATGCGACAATAGTCGAGGTAATTTTCAAATTTTGGATATACGTCTACATTAGTATTTTTGAATTAGTATTTTTGAAGTATATTTTTGAAATAAATAATAATTTTCAAAAGAATTACAATCTATGTCATTGCTTATTTATATATCCACAACTTTACATTTAATTCTTTCTACTCTCTGTACAACCAAACATAGCTAAAATAGTTAAGGATTATTATAAAATTAGAAATATCCATATAATGTTCCAAAGTTAATAATATTTACATTTAGAAAATTTTATCACGAATTAAAATTTGATTCTTCTCTCATCTTTGTTTATTTTTTTATTGTTTTGAATCTCCACTCATCATTATAATTATATATATTGCATTTAAATAATTAGAATTACAATATATGCAGAAAATTAGATTTTTAGTAGATAATAGATTTTTATTAGATTAAGTTACTAAAATCTAATTTTTAAAAGTGTGTTTAACGTCACATAACGGCTAAAATTTTAGAAAATGATTCAAATACATATATAAATAAGATCAAAATGAATCCAAATCCGAATTTTCTGAAACTTCACTTAATAAAACATCCAAGTTTTAAAAATTTATATGTTTTAGCTGGTTTTAAAGTTGAACTGCTTAATTTTACTGTATATAATACTTTAAAAACTTTTAAGAAAAAAATATAATTTAAATTAAATAAATAAATTTTGATTTCTGTAGTATATCGTAAATTAAAATCTAGTCATTTTTATTTTGGTAGTCTTAAAAGGAAAATATGCCAACCGAAAACATTTAATTAGAAATCAAATAAAATCCATTAAAGAAATAATTCTCTCTAAAGTCTAACTATTGTAAATCGAAATTAGAAACAAAACTCAAAACCGAATCGAACCAAATTTAAATAGATTATTAAGTTGAAATTTGTGGTTTAGAATTCAAACTTAACCAAAACCAAAATAATCGAACCGAAACCAAACCGGATGAATTATTTGGTTTTTTTTTGTTCTTTTTTGTTTTTTTTTCGACATAAGAAATTTATTGTAAGGTTCTGTAACGTGGACCATGAAACCGGATACTCGAGTCACCGGAGTGTCCTGCTTCTCTCGGTTCTTCTTTTCCCTTTAGTAAAATTAGGGTTTTTTGAAGAAGACGAGTAAGCATCTCTCCGTTTCGATTTTTTCTTCACTCTTCTTCTTCTTCTCATTGCACATAACCTAATTTGAACTTATCACTCCTCTCTCTCTTCATCGCAGATTCATCGACAAGGCGATGGCTTCTTTGTTCAAGGTACATAAAGTTTGGATTTTTATCTGAACCCGTTTCTGGGTTTTGAATTCGTCACTGTTTCTAGTGAATTTGAGTATCTGGGTTGTCTAGAATCTGATAGGTTTGTAGCGATTCGAAGAGTCACAAACCCCAAATCGAGTAATTAGTGATGAATTTGGTGTCTAGGGTTTGCTCTCACGATCTATGCATTTAGTCTTTGTATGGATTCGTTTGTATGATTATGTCAATTCCTTCATATTTGGGTGTTTTGGTGACAGGAGCAAGCTAAGCTCTCGGCTTATCGAGATAGAAGATTTTCAGGAACACAAGAGGAGTTCGATGAGGCGTTGAGGACATCTTCGACTGTTTACATTGGCAATGTGTCTTTCTACACTACTGAAGAACAGCTTTACGAGCTCTTCTCTAGAGCAGGAGAGATTAAAAAAATCATCATGGGTTTGGATAAGAACACTAAGACACCCTGTGGCTTTTGTTTCGTCCTGTAAGCTTTTGATTTTCAACAATTTTTATTTGTAATTGTTATGATTATCTTGCTTACGTGTGTGTTGTTGATGTTGTCAGGTTCTACTCGAGAGAAGATACTGAAGATGCAGTCAAATACATAAGTGGGACTATTCTGGATGACCGGCCCATTCGTGTGGATTTTGATTGGGGATTCCAAGAAGGAAGACAATGGGGACGTGGTAGAAGCGGTGGTCAGGTATTCATTAGACGCATCCTCGCTGTAATTTTCTGATCTTTTGTATATGGATTTGACGTAATCATGCTTTTTTTGAAAATTTCATACAGGTTCGAGATGAATACCGTACAGATTACGATCCTGATATCCTTTCAGTCTACATTGTTTTGCTTTTATGTAGTTCTTGTTTAGTAAATCTGTTTCTCGGTAATGGATCTGCTGCCGATCCATCTGTTTTTTCTTTAACTCGTTGACACCTAGAGGTGGTTATGGAAAATTAGTTCAGAAGGAACTTGAAGCACAAAGGCAGCTTGTAGATTACGGTACTGGCTCATTGGGATCTTATCAACAAGCTGCGCCATCGAATTGTATGTTCTTTTTCAACTTTCTATCAAATCTACTAAATCTTGTTTCTAGTGGCATGATCTTGCACTTAAGTGTGGATAAATGATGAACATGTAGAAGTGCCGTGAATGTGAGTCTTAAATTGCTTAACTTAGCATTGTAGTGCTCAGAAGAAGATTCTTTTTCTTTCAAAACATCTGCTTATTGTTTTACCAATGTCCATTGTGAGAGAGTTAAGATGTGGAAAGAAATCATGAATCCTAGTGTAGAAGTAGCTTATTCAAGTCCATCATGTGAGAATCCATAAATAGAGCCTGCATAACATTAAGTTCCTAAATGCTTTTTGCATATATGTATTAATCACGCAGATGGAAGGCGTGGCGGATATAATAATCAAGGAGGCTCGAATCGCCAGGGAAGAGGAGGAGGTATATGTTTCCTAACAAGCATAGCACTTAGTAATCTTATAATCATACCACAGAGTAGCACAATTCAATGTTTTTAATGCTTTAGCAGACTACCATCGGAAACGTCAAAGAGACGATGATCGTTATGGACGTGACAACTCAAGAAGAAACACAGATCATGAGACTAGGAGAGATACTGATCAGGACATGAGACCGGTAAGTAACACAACTCTTTTCTTTTCTCCTAGTAATCTGTTTGAGTAAGTTTACTATCTGATGCTAAAACATTGTCTTCCATGGGAATTTTTGTGTGGTTTCAACAGGAGAAGAACCCACGATTCCGTGAGAGCGGTGACTCCGATGATGAAGGTGAAGATGATCGGAAGAGAAGATCTTAAAAACCAACTTTAGCATTTACCAATGTTGCTGAAGGATCAATGTAAACTTTTAGATTTATGAGTCTGAACTCAATTTGGGTTTTCTAGACTTTCATTACAGCCTTTATGAAGTTGGTGTCATCCCATATGAGTGTACAACCTTTTCTCGATCATCGGAAATATCATTACTAGACTTTTGGGCCGAAGTAGTAGCCAAGTGAAACCTCACTATAGTGCTCTGCTCACTAATCAAATTGTATCTATCTGCCTCACCATCTTCAGGCGTTATCGAATGGGTATTAAGAATTTCATCGAAAACTTACAGCGGCTTGCCAAACAAAGGCTAAGAGAAGAAAGAAAAGACTATGGAGAATGAGATTGTTAACTATGGCAACAATATATATTAACTGAGTAGAGTTATCTACTGTCAAAAGTTTATTTATCGATGAAACTGGACAGCTAATACAAAGTTGCTTAACTTCAATACATGCACATCATAAAGAGAAATACATATGATCAAAGCAACAAGGATTGATAGTATACTGTTCCTTGCAAAAATACTTAGAAGATACTAAAAAAAAATGAAGTTAACAATTCGAGATTTCGGCGAATTTTTTGACATTTTTCTCAAGGAAGAGGAGGAACATCAGAAACTCCTTGACGTTGCAACTCCGTCATAACACCATCAACTGACGGCGGTTTCAGTCCGAGAGGTAGCGGCAGCCACGGCTTGGTTATGACATCTCCAATAGCAGCGTCAATGCTCTCATTCGACTGCACCGTCAAGTAATAGAAGATAATGTTATCCAATTGAACAAAGTTATTGGAAAATGATTTTTGTATGATCATGTCATAATCACTCACGGGATGAATGTCGATGGGAGGATTAGTGGGTCCTAATGGTCTTGTTGCGGGAACACCAATGGTTGAATGATTTGATGTTGCCATACCATATCCCTACACATAATATTACATAAAAAAATTCTAATTAGAACACTATACAATATGTTGTTATATGATTAGTAGTCTACATGAATTCATAATCTTGCTTAAGTGCAAGCTTTTATATTACTAATCGCGTTTATCATACAAAAAAACCGCGATTTAGTATACTGATTTTGTTATATGATGCTTGTGTTCATAAATTATAACTAGAAAGTGTATACTAAAAAGCAAGTAATGTACAAATACTAGCTTTTTCCAGTTTCATGATTGTTCAACAAAAGTGATTTTGGTTATGTCATTTCAACTATTTTCAAGATTTAGCCTTACAACTAATGAAATGAGTTATTACCTGTGGATAGAGTGGTTGTTGGTGCCAGTACGGCGGATGAGCTGGCCAAGCTGTTGACGGAGCGGCCGCAACGGCCGGAATCGGATATGTCCGATGAGCTGAGACCGGAGTGTTAGGCTTGTGTTTATTAGGCCATGTAGGATGACCCCAAACATGCAAAGGCCTGAAGTGGCCATGATGCATTGGTGCCACATGTGGAGGATAGCCTAAAGCAGGAGCCGTCCACGGCTTCTTTCCTCCTCCACCTACTCCGGCAACTGCCACCGTCGCATGCCTCCGGAGATTCCAGCTTGCAGCTTCTGCCTCACGCGCTAGCAAATGCTTCCGATGTGACCTATATTTCTATATCATTACAAGAATAAATACAAACACATACAGTATTAGTCTTATTACACAAATCTGAGTTGGTTTTGTATTTTACTTGTCTTTTCTCATAAAAGTTTAAGCAATTTTTATTTTAACAATTAATTAATAAGAGCTATATAGGGTCAATTAATAAAGAACTTAGTTTGCAGAGTTTTTAGTACAGTTATAGTTTTAATTACATCTAAGAGTTTAAAATTACCTGAAGATGGCTAGCAACGTTGTGACGAGTGAGAGATTTAACGTTCATAATTTCCAAAATCCGAGACGGCACCGCCTTGTCTACTCCTAATTGCTCCACCGCTTGTACGAATTTCCGGTGTAACTCCGGCGTCCAGTCCACCTGATTATTACGGAAAAAAACAAAAATTAATTAGTAAAAAAAAGAAAAAAAAAATTGTTAAAATTTTACCAACTATATAGTTTAAATAAATACACAAAATTCAATACTCCTAGTACACAAAACTTGGTTTCATCCAAGATCTACTCCGGTTATTAAAAATTAAAACAATTGTGATTATATATATATATTAAAATACAATAAAGTATTAGTTTCATTTATACTTTTGAACGAAATTAAAATATTAAGATTTACTTAAGATGAATAATTAGGAAATAAACACACCTTAGGTTTTTTCTTAATATCGTTATCATCGGATGAGCAATTTTTACTTTTCTTCCCTTTACGTTTGCCTCTACGCACCGTTTTGTCCCTAAAACCACCATCACCACCACCATCACCACCACCACCACGCTCTTGCTTACACAAACCACCACCACCACCACCACCTTCCCTCTCCGATGTCTCCGAAGCCGTCGAAGTGTTCCCCTCCATCTCTTGCTCCTCATCTCTCCCACTACCGGAATATTCCGCAAGAATCTCCGAGTCCATATCCAAATCAGGCAACACATCGTCTCCATCGAAACCAATGAAAAGATCGTCGTAGTAATCGATCCCATCAAGAAGTTCGTCGGAGAAATCTCCGACCGTCGTGAAGTCCGGCAAGTCTCCCGTCGTAAAATCTGCGAAGTCTGCCGCCATGAAAGTGTCCTTGGAGTTGGTGGAGTTGTTTCCGATGAGTGGAGCTGGTGACACAGTTAACATCGGAACCGTTTCAAGATTGTTCAAGAACACTCAAGATTCGAAAGATTTAGAGAGAACAAGAGTGATACAGTGAAAGTAGCATATGAAGGTTATATATATATAAAGCTAGACGTGTGTGTGTGTGTGTGTGTGTGTGTGTGTTTGTATAGATATAGATAGTTCCAAGGTTTATTAAAATCTTTATATGCCGTATGTGTATATATGTGTTGGTGGACACTGACATGAAAAATAAGTTGTGGTTGAGAGATAGGAGAGAGAGATTTTTAAGTTTTTTATTTTATTTTATAAATTTAATTTTGAAAAAAGAAAATTTCAGTCAATACTTATTAACACTTTCCTTTAAAAACATTATGGCTGTATTACAGTTGATGGAAAAAAAATGCACAAGAGATAATAATTAGTCAAATATAGGAAATGATAGAATATATATATATATATATATATATATATCTTTTTGTGTACATTACTAGTAAAAACTTTACCTTTCTTGGTTTCTCAAAAATAAATTGGAAACTTTTGTCACTATTTTTAAAAAAAAGATTTACAGGTAGTGAAAAAATTGAGTAGGAATTAGTAAATCATAAATCACTTTTTGATAATAGTGATTTGAGGTATTTTGGATGATAATACTTTTTTCGAAACTAATACAAGATTGATAATTTTGGGAGAATTTCAAATGATTACTACTGTTTTTTGTTTATTATTTTAAAAATAACTGTTCTTTACATGAAAATAACTATGGAGTGTTTAAATTGAATTTACAAGATATTTTATAACGAATGTTATTTCTTTAAGGTATATAAAATCGATCCCATTTTCTTACTAATTAATAATAAAAAATATATATGGAAAAGGGATCGGAATGTCAAATGATGTTTGTTTGTGTGATAGAGATATGAAACGGCGTCGGATGGGAGTCCATTAGGGGTTTAAATCATTGGATACGAGATCTGTGGTTAATCTTCCTAGGCGTAATGGAGTTCTCAAAGCCGCAAAAAACAAAAAAGCTTGTTATGTCAAATAAGAATGTCAAAAGATAACTTATATAAACCAAATAAAATTTTATTACAGTAACGACAAAGAAAACAAATTAAAGGCTATGATCGGATAAACTGGTCGTTAATGAAAGCATTATTGATACGAGTAGAATCTTGACAGATTTAGATGTCTTGGATTATGTTGTGCAACATTTGTCGCGTTTCGCGACTTAATTAACGAAAACCTAAATAGCACATTGACTTAAATGGGTTTTAACCAAATGATTTGTGTTCCCTGGAGTGTGGGATCTAGGAAAAATGATCTTATGGGCTCCACCTGGATAGTATTTAACGGCTAAGGGGATTCATTAGCATTCAACAGCCGAACACAAAGCAAGAGATAAGGCGAGCACTCGATAAACCTGATCACGAAGTAGAAAGTTACGAAGCTCGAAGGCCCAAAGAAAAGCCCAAAAAGGAAAACCTCTAAAAAACCCATAAAACTTTGTATCCGGAAAAATAAAAAATGTTTAAATTAAAAACAATGCGACATTGATTGACGGATTGAATGCTCAACGATGTATAAATATAGAACTTTAAGCCAATGAGGGGGGAGACATTTTCTATCACTCACAATACAATAATACTTCGTCCATACTCTTTTATATATACAATCTATAATATGCAAAAATACAGAAAAATACGGTCTAGCTTTTGATCTTGAGAGTTTTTAACCTACAATAGCATTTATATAGGAGTTCAGATTTAGTATCATAGTAACTCCATGTCACATGAGGGAGCTTCGAAGAAAAGACCATCGAGCCAACAGTGTGATGTGCTTGTAAGGTGGCTAGTAGTTAAGACTTTGGATGTGGTTGGTTATGTCTTCCGCGATAAGTTTTGTCTGTTAATTTAGTGATGTTAATCGAATTTCCAAACAACATTATACTTAGTGTGGAAACGGCTGAATCCTTGTCAAACCAGTCTGGAGTTGTGTGGCGCCGCGGAAGAGAAGTACACAAATTAGAATAGACTAGATGGAGAACACATAAAGACTCTTCGATAGTTTTATTTCGTTTGAAAAATGAGACGACATCGTTTGAAAAATGTAACTGTTTTATGTCTGGAGAAGACATAAAAACTTTTTAGTAGTTTGATTTTGCTGATTTTAGAAAAGTTACGAGGAATAATAGGAAAATTAGCTCCAATAATTCACAATTGGTGAAATGAGCTTCAATAATCCAAAATGAATTAGTCATTACAAGCTAGATTAGTAGAAAGTATCGCTATATATTATCAAATGTTGAGACATCATTAAAACCTTAATTTTCTAAAAGCTTAAGCTTGACTTTAAACTTCACTACCTCTACAAAACTAAATAATTCTGATAAATTACTCCCATAAATTCATAATTCTATAATTTTATAATTCTCAAATTTGGTGAAAAAATAATTAATATAACCTTTGACCAAAATGTGGAGGTTACAGTTTCATTTTGATTTTTTTTTTTCCCAACAAGCTAACAATTTAGTAGCTACTTGGTGTTAAAATAGCATTATTTTCCCTACATTTATTTTCTTTTAACCATATATGCATGTGTGCAGGTGCAATAAACTAAACATTTTTATTGACATTACATTTTCTCAAAGTAAACGATGCTACGTGGCGTCAAAAGCATAATTTACTACATTAACTGTGAAACTGTTACGTTTTTATTTGTGTGAACGTTAGGTTTTTGTGGCATTAATGTTGTTAAAACTCTAGTAGTTTAATTAGTACACTTATTATATGGGTACGTTACAATGCAATGTAACGTCATTCAAAGTCAAATTTAAGAGTATTACATTATTAGGATATGTTTGGCTCAACTCAAGTCCATCTAGTGCCACATTCTGACACAATTTGACTTATAAGAAAATATTTTAAACTAAATAAATGGTTTATACATTTAAAACTCACTTATACGGATACTTATAATTTAGCACGAAAAATTCGTATCAAACCGTATTATGTCTTTTATAATTGGCTTATTTGATCTATTACGACTAGTTATAAATAAATAAATAGTTATATTGTTACTTGTTAACTTATGTTCTTAACTCTAGTCTCTAGTAGTTTAGTACACTTGTTACAATGGGAACGTTACAACTTAGTGTAACGTCTTTTTAAGTAAAATTTAATAGTGATACATTATTAGGAGTCTAGGACAGTGATATAAGTTTGGCTCAAGTCCATCTAATGCCACATTTCTGACACCTCTGATTCATTAAAAAAATAGTTCAAAGTTTCAAACTAAATAAATGGTTTATGAATATGTAAACTCAGCTTACACCGTATAATTAAGAAGAATTTCAAAAATATCACTTTTGAAAAAACATTTTATTATTATTATTAGTGTAATGTTGGAGATGCACTTAGTATATTATTATTTCATTGTTACGTTACAACTTACAACGTCTTTTAAAGTAATTTTTTTTGTTATTATTACATCATTAGGACAGTGATATGTTTGGCTCTAGTCTATCTAATGCCACATTCCGACACCTAATAATAGTTCAAACTAAATAAATGGAGTATTACATAATAAACTCACTTATACGAATATTTATAATTTTGTGCGTATAGTTTAGTAAAAACATTTTACTTTTCTTTGGTATTACAGTGTTTTATTCTTTATGAATTACGAATCTGATTGAAATATAATAAAGTGCATATAGTAATAGTATAATGAAATTTGTGGTGAGATCTCAACCACATCTTTTTTTGTTATTTTTTTAATAATTGATTCCATTTTACATATGTGTGTTCGTGTATATATATTTTTTTTAAAGAATAATACAGTGCAACGGGGCTGGCTACATTTTGTTTTCTCTATATTTCTTATATTAATATTATTATTATTATTATTTATATAAAGAAAAGTATAATTTTATTGCTATGTGGACTCCAATTATTTCGAGAGTTTTTAATATGTGAAAATGTCATATCATGCTCACTCTTTAGTCTTCCACCAAACGACATCTTTTTCGTTTTTTTTTCTTCTTTTTTTGGGTTTTTACATATTTTTTCGTTTTCATATTGAAATGTTAATATACATATTGTTTATTATACAAAAATGAAAACGAAATTTTTTATTCAGCAATATGAGAAAGAAAGTCTTTAACAAAGAGAGGTCTATTATTGAAAATAATTTGAAATATTTAATTATATAAAGAATTAAAATGATATGCACAAGATTTATACAAAACAAAGAGACAAACATATGATGGGGACGAGACGTCGAAACAAGTGGGGGCGTCGAAATTGACCTTCTCTCGTGAGCACACACACATATTGGATAATGCTTTACTCTTCTTTTAATTAATTAAATCTCTTTCTCAACCCATCTCATTCAATCTACATTGTCTTGATTAATTACTATTGAAAAATATGTCAATGGGATTGACTTGAGTCATAATGATAATAGTAATTAATAATAAGTGAATATAAACAAGTTATTAGAAAGAACAAAGAAACATACTTATAGGTAATAACGTATGTACATATTAAAACATTCCTTACTAATAAGCTTGCTCGTACTAATCAAGTTGGTTTGATATATTTTACAAAAGGAAGACAAAGTCAAACAAACAAAGCAACTCAAAAAATATGATAAATAATAAAAGAAAATGGTTCATAAAAGGAAAGAAAAATACAAAATCACATGTGGAGCGTTGTAATAATTGAAGCATCTTTACAAATATTTACAAGCAAAAAAAAAGTGTCAATACCACTATAGATTAACAAGAGATAATCCAATATTTAGAAGCAATAAAAGTATATTACTAAACGTAAAAAAAAAACGTTTAAAAATTGTTTTGCACGTAACATTCTTCAAATGTTTTGATCAGTTCGGATAAAGATAATGTCATAGATCATTTGCTTTGTCTAATCATATGAGAAGTAAGAAATATATGTTTTTGACCCGTAAACATGGTAAGCTAATAAGTAAGAACATTTTTATTCTTACGACACATTCATGTCATAATGATGAGAATAATTGAAGTACAAAAATAATTCAATGCGTTTTAAAAGCCCGTCAAATCAAATTACGCTGATGCATAATTGTGAGGGACATGAATTGTTACA